CTAGTATCATATCTGCCAATCTTATCTTAATTACCAAAAGCATGTTATAAAAAATATTGAATTAAAGGTATGCTTATTAAATACTAAGATACATTACAAGACAAGTATTAATTAAGTTGAAATGGTATGGACATGTTTAAATGAGCAAAAAAAATTTGCCAGTTGTAACAACAATTTTTTTTCTAAATACACACCGAACATATTATTCTTATGAAGTTCAATCATATAATAAAGTAGTATAGGCGATTTTGTTAGTAGATTGAATTACATTTCTGAAATGTTTTGTCTATACAATTGTTTTTTATTTCTACATAACTTGTAATTAGTAATGTATTGGAGAAACTAAAAAGTGAAAAAATGAATAATTGGTCCCATGTGCTGTGGTACCAATACCACGTCCCTGAACATTTGTGGCATGGGTTTCGATTCATCACAATCTCAAAACCAGAGATAGATCAAGGTTTTCGACCACATGATTTATCATTGACCCCAATCATATGGTAGGATATCACTATAGTGAAACAAAAAATAAATTAAATGACAGGAAGAAGAAAAAACAGAAATAAATAAATAAATAACGAAAAATTATGAAACAACACTATTCCTTTTTTGCTTACAAGAAAATCACCCAATGATTAAGTAATGAATTCACAACAGACTAATTTCTATTTATACTGACCAGAACATTAACTGAAATTTAAAGTGGATTGCAAACAAATAAAGGATTGGTGATATTCTATTGGTCATAGGATATTTCTAGCACACCCATTTTAGGGACCTTATTAATTAAGACAAATAACATTAATTATCAAAACTATTTGACATAAATATTGGATAAAGGTAGCAACAGCATTACTTATAAGAAGCAAGATTAAAACTTGTATTGACAACCATGTTCAAATAAGCATTTTTTTTATGATGGTTGTGGTCATAGTTTTTTTTACATATACACCAAACATATTATTTGCATGAGGTTTTCCAATATAATAAAGTATCTCATGTGATCTTGTTATTAGATGACATTTCTGTGAAGTGAAATAACAAATTACATTTGTGAAATGGTACAATTCTTTCTTTCTTTCTATTTTTTTATTTAACTTAGTATTACAGTTAGTGATGTATTGGAAGAAATTAATAAATGAAGAACATCCGACAAAATAGAAGATAGATTCAAGTATACCGTTGTTTTATAAAAAATGGTTCTAACGTTATATTTTTTTTATACTAATGTTAGTTTCACACGTTAGAGTGCGCCAAAAGGAATGAATGCAATAGGATTCACTCTCAGGAGCGCATGTATGCGCATGTAGAACTTGAAGAAAGATTAATTTATAAATAGATCTTCCAATAAGATTTTTCCAAAACTATTCAATTAACTTACTGGTATAAATATGTTTATTTTAGCTCTATTAAATAAATATTTATCAAATTTGTTTATTTTAGCTCTATTAAATAAATATTTATCAAATTTTGTTTAAATTTAGTAAACTCAAATTCAAATTGTGATATTTAAGGTGAAAAAATTTAGTGATTGAATAAAAATACATATAGCAATTTTCAAATTAAAATTATTAATTGAATTAGTGAAAATTAAATAAAATTTATAGAATTTAAATATTTAAATTTTTTTAGTTCAATTAGAATTAATTGTGTGCGTGTATATATATATGTGTGTGTGTTAAGTTCAGATAAAAGTTCATACATATATATATATATATATATATATATATATATATATATATATATATATATGAGGAAAAATATATATATATTAATTTTGCAGACCATTTGGATGGAAAAATATATATATTTATTTGAGGGGCACGGAAGGATAGAATTAGTGATTTTTTTTAGGTTTTTGTAGTTCAATTAGAATTAGTGAATTATTTTTAGGTTTTTATAGTTCAACTAGAATATATATATATATATATATATATATATATATATATATATATATATATATATACCATTATTAAATGTGCAAAGAGTTTCAGTGTTTTCTATATTTATATCTATATCTATATCTATACCATTATTGTAAAGAGTTTAGTGTTTCAGTATTTATTTATTAATATAAAAAATGAGTTTTTTCATTTTTCTTGTCCCACATTGGTTTTAAGTAAAAAGGAATACATTGAAGCCTTTTATAAAACGATAGACCTAAAGAAATAATAATCACACTTTTCTCAACCTTTTGGCTAACCTTTCTCGACCTTTTGGATAAGATCAAGTATAGTATTAAATTTTTTTGGGTCAGCCTTTTGGCTAATCTTTCTTGGTCTTTTGGCTAAGATTAAGTATAGTACTACTTCGGCCTTTTGGCTAACCTTTCTCGGCCTTTTGACTAAAATCAAGTGAAGTACTAATTTTTTTGGAGTCAGCCTTTTGGCTAAGATCAAGTAAAGTACTAATTTTTTTGGGGTCGACCATCTAGCTAACCTTTCTCGACCTTTTGGCTAAGATCAAGTGTAGTACTATTTTCTCGGCCTTATTATTACCTAATAAAATTCAAATAAACTCTAAAATTTATTACCTAATAAAATTCAAATTAAATATTTATTAAAACTCTAACATAAAACTCTAAAAATTATTCTAACACAAATTACCGATTTATCTATTTATTATAAGTTTTTTAATAAAATAAAATCTAATTTGACAAGTATTATTAATATAAAAATTATTTATTAATTGATATAAAAAAAGAGTTTCAGTCTTTCAGTATTTATTTATTGATATAAAAAAAGAGTTTTTATAAACAAAAAATTACCTAAAAACTATTTAAACAGTTTAATTCAAATTACAAATTACCTAATAAAATTTATAAAAATTAATTTAAAGAGTTTAATTCAAATTACAAATTATCTAATAAAATTTATTTTTCTTATTCCACATTGGTTTTAAGTAAAAAGGATTACATGAAAGCCTCTTATAAAACTATAGACCTAAAGAAATAATAGTCATACCTTTCTCGACCTTTTAGCTAACATTTCTCGGTCTTTTGCTAAAGATCAAGTGTAATACTAAATTTTTTTGGGTCGGCCTTTTAGCTAACATTTCTTAGTCTTTTTGACTAAAATCAAGTGTAGTACTATTTTCTCAACCTTTTGGCTATGATCAAGTGTGGTACTACTTTTTCGGCTTTTTCACTAACCTTTCTCGGCCTTTTCGCTATGTCATTTTTCTAAAATAAGCCGACTAAGGACCACAAATGCTTCATATATGCAAACACTTTAAACATGTGACAATATAAACTTTAAAATCATGACAATACAGGTCCTCATTGAACAGCAGCAACACAAGCATTCTCTAAGCAATTCAATTAACCCAAAGTCCAAAAAATGATGTTAATCTCAGAAAAATATAACAAATGAAATTAAATAAATTAAGAACTATAAAAATTAAAATAGAGCTAAAAGAAAAGGTTATGAAACATATTAAAATGTTGAGATGAACTATCATAGACAAGGAACATAATAGCCATAGTTATAAGTCTCGCTAGAAGTTAGCAGATATTCCAAAAAATAAAGAAGCATTAAGAGTAATAATAAAAATAGACAATAACAAAATAATACAAGTCACCATCTTAATGCCATCTGGATGGGTGTCGTAACGCATGATGTAAACACATCAGCAGGAAAATCAGCACTCTGAGGAAGAGTCTCATGTGCCTCATAGGTTGCAAGCAGAATGCAATCCTTTGTGGATGGTCCAGAGGAGCTAGATACTAAGATCAAGTATAGTACTAATTTCTCGGCCTTATTATTACCTAATAAAATTCAAATAAAATATAAAAATTATTACCTAATAAAATATTTATTAAAACTCTAACATAAAAGTCTAAAAATTATTCTAACACAAATTACCTATTTATCTATTTATTATGAATTTTTTAATAAAATGAAATCTAATTTGACAAGGATTATTAATATAAAAATTATTTATTAATTGATATAAAAAAAGGTTTTAAAAAAGTTTCTATAAAACTCTAACATTTATCTATTTATTATGATTTTTTAATAAAAAAAAATCTAATTAAACAAGAATTATTAATATAAAAAAAATATTTATTAATTAATATAGAAAGAGATTTTAAAAGAGTTTCTATTATGCTCTAACACAAAATATATTTTAACTCTAACACAAATTATAGAAACTCTAAAAATTATTACCTAATAAAATTCAAATAAAATATTTATTAAAACTCAAACACGAAATATATTTCAAATTATAGAAACTCTAAAAATTATTACCTAATAAAATTCAAATAAAATATTTATTAAAACCCTAACACGAAATATATTTCAAATTACCTAATAAAATTCATAAATATTAATTTAAACAGCATAAAAATTAATTAAAAGAGTTTAATTCAAATTACAAATTACCTAATAAAATTCATTTTTCTTGTCCCACGTCGGTTTTGAGTTATAAAGGATTAAATGGAAGCCATCTTATAAAATTATAGACCTAAAAAAATAATAATAACACCTTTCTCGGCCTTTTGGCTAACCTTTCATAGCCTTTTGACTAACCTTTCTCGGCCTTTTGGCTAAGATCAAGTGTAGTCTTACTTTTTCGGCCTTTTGCCTAACCTTTCAAATTATTTAAAGAGTCTAATTCAAATTACAAATTATCTAATAAAATTCATAAAAATTAATTTAAAGAGTTTAATTCAAATTAAAAATTACCTAATAAAATTAATTTTTCTTGTCCCAGTATTTCAGTATTTATTTATTAATATAAAAAAAGAGTTTTTATAAACAAAAAATTACCTAAAAATTATTTAAAGAGTTTAATTAAAATTACAAATTACCTAATAAAATTCATTTTTCTTGTCCTACATTGGTTTTAAGTAAAAATGATTACATAGAAGCCTTTTATAAAACAATAGACCTAAAGAAATAATAATCACACCTTTATCGGCCTTTTGGCTAACCTTTCTCGGCATTTTGGTTAAGATCAAGTGTAGTACTAAATTTTTTTGGGTCAACCTTTTGACTAACCTTTGTTGGTCTTTTGGCTAAGATCAAGTATAGTACTACTTTCTCGGCCTTTTGGCTAACCTTTCTCGACCTTTTAGCTAAGATCAAGTATAGTACTAAAATATTTTGAGTCTGGTCAACTAGAGTAGGTTACTACTTTAGTGATCCTAGCATTTCCTTGGCGTTGCACTACTACCAAGTTTTGGTATACCCTCCAAATCAAAGTGTACCTAATAAAATTCATTTTTCTTGTCCCACATTGGTTTTGAGTTATAAAGGATTACATAGAAGCCTCTTATAAAACTATAAATCTAAAGAAATATTAGTCACACCTTTCTCAGCCTTTTGGCTAACTTTTCTCGACATTTTGGCTAAGATCAATTGTAGTACTAAATTTAACCTTTCTCGACCTTTTGGCTAATCTTTCTTGGCCTTTTGGTTAGGGCTGCAACTCGGGCGGGTTGGGCGGGTTTGACGTTTAACTTGAGCCCAACCCACCATATGAAATGCTAAACCCAAGCCCAACCTTAACCCTATCTTCAACACTAACTACTCAACCCGAGCCCAATCTATTCTTCTACTTTTAAATTCGGGCTTACAACTCGGGTTTAGATTTCATGTTAAAACTTTAGGTTAATTCAGGTTACTCATATGGCTAATCTTCCCACTGAAAATTTAATATGATCTTGAATTAGTTTTAGATTAAATTACTCTTAAATAAGAAAAAATTCAAAGATATTTGTAGATTTTTAATAAATTACAAACAAATTTTTAAAAAATTAAGTTTCCTAAATGTTAATATACAATAAGTTAAGATTTAATAAGGAAGTTGAAAAGGAAAAAAAAAAAAAAAGGTAATCATAGTTTAAATATTATATATAATGCATTTTAAAGTAAAAATATATATGAAAATAATATTATAATTCGAGTTCGGGTTGACTCGGGCTGCTTGCACTTCAACCCAAGCCCAATCCTAATTAAATTCGGGTTGAGAATTTTTAATCCAAGCCCAACCCTAATTGTAAAAATAATTGCCCAAGCCATCGAAAAATCGAGCTGGGCTCGGGTTGGGTTCGGGTTTTCCAACCCAAGTTGCACCCCTACTTTTGGCTAAGATCAAGTGTAGTACTAAATTTTTTTAATATAAAAAAAAAGTTTTTATAAAAAAAAATTACCTAAAAATTATTTAAAGAGTTTAATTCAAATTACAAATTACCTAATAAAATTCTTAAAATTTTATTTAAAGAGTTTAATTCAAATTATAAATTATCAATATATTTCAAATTATAGAAACTCTAAAAATTATTACCTAATAAAATATTTATTAAAACATGAGAGCAATTAATATATATTATGATTCTAATTACTTTAAAGTTTTGGATTTTCTAATATATTTTGTTTCTTTTGAGGTGACAATTATTACAATCTAAAAATTGTTGGTACCCTTTTGGATTTTATAATATATAGAATTTGTATATAGTATTTATTTATGAATGTTTTATAAATTATAGAATTTTATTTTCAATTTGTTGTTTTGCATAATCATCAACCCTTTATATTTTTTATTTTGCCTTCTTTTCCGGCGACAATTATTACACTCTAGGACATTCTGGATCTGAAAATGTTTTATCTATTTTTTTTTATTTATAAAACTATAAACAATTAAAAAATATATGAAAATATAAATTATATAAATTAAAAAACATTCAGCACATCCATCGCACGTGCCTTTTACAGTATATATATATATATATATATATATATATATATATATATATATATATAAAGTTGATTTCAGAAGAATTTCCATATATTAGTAAAAAGAGAATCTTGTATTTACCTGCGGTCACCAATACACATAGCACAATAAGGTTGATATTTAATTACAATTACTTGAAAAATGGCACTCTTTTCACCAGTTAAGTAATGAAGTTAATGAATTTTCATGCTCTTTTTTTTTTTTTTTTTTTTTTTTTTATAAACGTTATTTTTTTTTTTTTATCTTGTTCATAAACGTTATTTTTCCTAGTTTAAATAATTAATAAACTACATTTGAATAAGTTAATGAATTTCAACTTAATAACAAATTGGCCACTAAAATTGGATATTATGCTAATTAGAAATACGGAAACATTTTACTGTGACAATTGTTCAACTACAAAAGTGATTTTACATAAAAATTTGGAGGACATCTTATCAACAATTGTTAAAATACAAATGTTATGTTAGATTATAAAAATAGAAGACATATTTTATTGAATAACCATTCTTCAACTATACTTTCGAATAGCTCCATATTCACATATATCTTGTCATTTATAATTTATACCTATCAAATCAATAGACAATTTTTTTTCCAAATCAATCCATGCATGCATATTGAGCTTTAATCATGTCCATAACAGTAAAATATTCTAAATTTTTTCTTATAATGCTCAAATTTGGATTAAATAAATACAAGTATTTTCTCATCTAAATATGATTGCTTTTTTCTTTTTTTCATTCTCAATTGGAGCTTAATGACATAATTTATCAATGGTGCCAAAAAATAAAGACAACATAATTTACCACTAACCCTAACCCTCTGTTTGTGTATCATAAAACTAAACAAAAATTAGATTAAATTACAGAAAAAATAACTTTTATATATATATATATATATATATATATATATATATATATATATATATATATATATATATATATTATGAAACAACCCTATTCCCTTTTTTTGCTTTTAGCTTATAAGAAAGTTGATCCAACAATTAAGGCATTAACAATAGACTATTTTCGAGCATGAATGAATACATACATACACAAAGATTGAAATTTTAAGTGAAGTGCAAACAAATAAAGAGTTGGTGATTTTCTATTGACCATATGGTATTATGGACCTTATTAATCAAGACATATAATCTTAATTCACATAAATATTGGATTAAGGTAGCATCGTTTATAAGAAGCGACATCACAACTTGTTTTAACACTGTTAATTAAACTGAAGTGGTACCAACCATGTTCAAATGAGCATAATTTTCATGAGAGTTATGCTCACATTATTTTCATCTATTAATTATTATTATTATTTATTATATATATATGTGTGTCTATATATATATATTTGCTTCATGTACAACAATCATATTATTTGTATGAGGCTCGGCCATATAATAAAGTGTCTCATGTGACTTGTGTTAGTAGATTGGAGAATTGTGCAGTGAAGTTAACACATCCTCTGCTGTGCGATTTTCATCCTGCAGTGACTGTTAAGCGGTTTTGGTTTGGTCACGTTTTACTTCAACTAATTGACATTAAAATTATGTTTGGCAATTACACCACCATTTATAAATAATATTTTACTACCATTTATAAGTAACATCATAGGAGTCTAAAAAATAATATCACCACTTGTAAGATCATTGCGTTTCACAATTATAGCACCATTTATAAGTTACATTTTACCACAATTTATAAGTAAAATCAAAGGACTCTAAAAAGTAACATCACATGAGTTTAAAAAGTAACATCACCATTTGTAAGAGGGTAACATCACTACTTAAAAAGTAAAGGTTGTTGACAGTCAAATACCTTATAATCCACTTTAACATCCTTTTTAAATTAACATGTGACTATTTTTTTGGATGTTCTAATTTTTATGATAAAATTTAACTTAAAAAATATATAAATAATATGTTAAATTGAATTAGATTTATGTGTGACTATTAGTTTTCAGCACTATGTGAATACTTTTTTTTTATGGTGAAGGTGGTGAGTGCGGCAATTAATATTAAATTTTGCCAATTTTTTTCTTTTGATGATGAAGGTGGTGATCGAGTGTGGCAATTAATATTAATTTTTGCCAAAAAAATTTCAAAGATATGTTAAATAATTTCTACCTAAATGCATGTTTTTTTAATATTTGAAAAAAAAAAGAAAAAAAAAAAGAAAAAGAAAAAAGATGTGGTTCTTTTCATTATTTTTGGAAACAACAAATGTTTTGTTTGCTTTCTAAAGTTAATCCAAGTGATTTTAATTTTAGTATAATTTTTTTAAATTAACATGTTAAAGTGTTTTTAAAATACTTTAATTTCAAATTATAACGTAAATGATATGTTGAATTGAATTAAGTTTATATGTGACATTACTTAGTATGCATTATGTGCATACCTTATTTTGAGGAGGAAGATACTTATAAATGGTGATGAAATATTACTTATAAATGGTGGTGCAATTGTCAAATACAGTCTTAGTGTCATTAATTGAAGTAAAATATGGCCAAACCAAGACCACTTAACACTCACTGCAGGAGACAGCGTGAAAATTACACAGAGGATTTGTGCCCTTGCGAAGATTACTGAGTGATCGGTGTAAAGGGTGAGGATATCCAACAAAGAAAAGAGATAAGAGTACACAAGCTCAATTTTGATATTCAGAAAAAATAAATTAAAAAAATAATAATAAAATCAGTCATTGCATCAAAGTACACATATCAATTTACAAAATTCAATCTAATTATTCATTGAATTAGTGAAAATTAAGTAAATTCATAGAATTTAAATAATTAGAAGTTATATGTGTGTGTGTGTGTGTATATATATATATATATTAAAACCTGTTGACACCCTTTTGGGTAAATTTTGTATTAATGACATGACAAAAGAGATTGACAACCAATTTGGGTATAAATTGACACGTGAAAAAGGTTACAGAAGCTACATTGAGAGGCAAAAGAGATTGAAGCATTTGAATTATTTAATGGATAGGGATTATAATTTTAGTATTTATCTTTTAGTTGATGTAAGTTAAATATTTATGTTTATCTTTAGGATTAGTTTATTTTAAACTTATAGTTAGTTGGATTATCTATATGATTAGTTTATTTTGAATTTATTGTTAGTTGTGAAAGAGTTGTAATGCAAGTAAAGTGTTTGTGTGTAGGAGTTTGTTTTACGTAATTTTCTATCAATAATTAAAGAGGCATGCTGTGATAAAGGTCCAGCACCCTCAGAATCCTTTAATTTATTATTTACTTTCTCAAGCCTTTCCTAGAATAGCATCCTTACTATTTATTCTCTATCTCTATCTATCTTTCTCAATATCTCGTTCTATTTCTCTCTCTCTCAACCTCTCTTTATATATTTCTTTCTATATCTATTTCTCTCCCCTTTTTATTCTCTCAATTATCACTATAAATTATTCATTGTAAAGTCCTTTTA